AAAAATTGGGGATGGATGGTCATAAAGAGAGTATTCTGACTCTAAAAAACTACGGAGCTTGCCACAAGAAGAAAGGTAACTTTGAAGAAGCAAGAAATCTACTCGAAAAGGCGGAACGCGTTGCCGAGCGAAAACTAGATGAGGATCACATGTGGAAAGTCATGGTAAAAACTGAACAAGCTCTCTTGCATGAAGAAGAAGGAAAGGAAGACCAAATGGAGGTGGCGATGAAAGAAGGACTTCAAATGTGTTACAAACTCCGACAGACTGTAGAACAACTTGGCAACAAACATCTGATACGGAAAACTCTAAATCGCTATCCAAAGTTGTTTCCAAAAGAAAAATCCCTTGTTGAAAGGCACATGTGCCCTCTGTAACTCGAGCAGAAATAAATGAGGATAGGATAATTACTTCAGATGTAAACTGTCAAACTGACTTTTTAAAAGTAGCTTATCCTCTTTAGNGAAAAGATTGAGGCTGACCAAAAGATCAAGCAAGCATGGCAGCTTTTCAATAAGTGTCTTGGTGAACATTTCATGACTGCACAGTGCCTAAAAGACTTTGCCGACTTACTTTTCTTCTCTGGAAACAAGACTGAACTGGATAGAGCACTATCGTATTACCAAAAGGCTCTAGAAATGATGTAAAAATTGGGGATGGATGGTCATAAAGAGAGTATTCTGACTCTAAAAAACTACGGATTTTGCCACAAGAAGAAAGGTAACTTTGAAGAAGCAAGAAATCTATTCGAAAAGGCAGAGCGCGTTGCCGAGATAGAACTAGATAAGGATCACAAGTGGAAAATCATGGTGAAGATTCAACAAGCTCTTTTGTATGAAAAAGAAGGAAAGAAAGACCAAATGGAGGAGGCGCTGAAAGGAGGACTTCAAATGTGTTACAGACTCGGACAGACGGCTGTAGAAAAACATGGCTCCGACTTACTGAAAATTCTAAATCGTCATCCAAACTCTAAACTCCAAACCGAAGTACACCGTCTGAAGACTGAACCAATTGATCATGAGGGACTTTCGATGGGCAAAAGGCTAAAGCAACCAATAGATGAGATGGGCAATAGAGACAAGATTCATCATCCACAGTCGTTCCCGGGGAGAGAATTTCCAAGTAAGTGACAGTTTCCAGAGCTTTAAATCAGTGTTCCTTTTGGTGCAATGCAATGGTTTGCCTAGTGGGAAGGTATTCTTTAAAAGACGGTTTGTCTATCTTCCCTTAAGTTTGAAAAGTTTGAAATTCCTCGCGTTTCGAGGGATTGCAATTTGAAAGGATATCGTAGCAGCGTTAACGGTGGACTCCCGTAAGTTTATTTCTTTGTCTGGTTGTTGCAAAATAATTGTGCCTGAGACCGAGGTACATTGATGTTATTGTGATTCCTATATGCAGTCATGTTCTTGTACTTATTTTCAGGGAATTTGCGTGGTCCAGATGGTCGATCCAGCAGAGGTCAGTGACAAGTAATCAAGAACCACTTCAGCGTTAGATATAGAAATAGATCATAGATGTAAATTTNTGACTTATTTCCTTTTCGCTAGGAAAATCTTAATCCAGCGGATACCAGAAAGATTCCGTTCATTAGAGCTCTGGTAACGATTGTCTGTGAAGACGCAATGGATAGAGGTAAGTTACCACGGTTGCGGGTTTGGCTGTTCTGCTTAGTGAAAACATTCTCTTACTTATTTGTTTTCCTTTGTTATCTCCAAAAGAAGACGGAGGCCATTGTAAATGCAATCTTGGTCGCTTGAAGAGCAGAAGAAATCTCCTCCGAAAGTATATTGACGACGATACCAATCTAGAGCTCCAAGCTCTTTTTGCGGTACAGGCACTCTTTGTCCAGCTGGACTACCCACCAGGTACAAATGTATAAACTTGTTGCTTATCTACGATCTTGTCCCGTTTAACAGTCTATTTTAATTTGCTGCGTGATTTAATCGAGATAACAGCTCGAGAATAAGCTGCGCACTGAATTACTCCTCTACAAATTTCCGTGCGAGCAAAAACTAAGTGTATCGAGCTTTATGCAGGCCACATTCGCGAATTCTAGTTTAACCTCCAGTAACTTCCGCTACGATGTTCTGAGAAGCAGGACCTTAGAGAATCTGGAAACGAAATATTTCATGGATTTTGGGGCAAGGTCCAGTAAGGTGACTCGGTGTGTGTGAGTTGAACTTTTCTGTGAAGCTTTTACTTTCAAATCATTAGAAAGGTCTAGCAATCTGATTTCTCATTTTGAAACAAAATATAGAAAGTGATAAAATTCTGAATTTAAGTTGTCTCCTCGCCTCTGGTTGGCCTCTCTCTCGGGAAATGAAAGACTGGAGGGGACGGCTGAAATACAGGTGATGGCAAACAATTAATAAAGTTTCTTCTGAAAGAAGTCTCTTATGGTACTGGCTTTGTGTTTGCTGTTACAAGATCGATCTTGAAGCAGAGCTAACTCAACTCTTGAAATCTATTTTTTGCCACGTCTTTTAAGCAGCAATCGCAGAACACTATTGGATTCTTTTTAGCGGAGCCCAAGCGGATCCCCATACTCGTATAGGAAAGAAAAGGAAACCCACGAGTTGATTTTCTCATGGTTATCATGGCTAGCGGTATTGCTCGTGG